TTGCTTTGCTTTGCTTTGGTGCCACATTACTCTTTATTCTCTTTATGACATTCTCTCTGGGGCTAAAGATTTTTTTCCAAATTCATGTCACAGCATATATTTTTCCCTCAACAGCAGCAAGTATGATTTGCTCTATGACAAAGAATTTGTGACAGTTCTTGCAGTGATGACCCAAAGTCCAACTCTGTGTCTTTCCTTTCTTTTTTTCTTTTGGATATACATAAATCTGTCAATTCACTTGACAACTAAGTCTTCTTGGTGAACACCAAAGGATTTTAATTGGGAAAAGGAAAGACAAAGAATTCTGAAATGTGAAATCTTTCTATTTGCTGCTTAATAGCATTGTTATGCAGTTGTGATTTAGTAGTAGTACAGCAAATTTAAATCTGTTAAAAGTTCCTCTGCCTGACACCATCAGTGCTGCCTCCCATGGCAGGTGGCACAGGATGAAGGGAAAGAGAAAAAGTGGCTTCCTGGGCACTGGCCAAGGTTTGCCAAAGTCTGTGACTTATTTCTTTTTCTGTTTCCTGGTTTTTAGCTATATCTCCATAGATGAAACACTTCGGAGTCTGGAGGCCCACTCCTTCAACAGCTTGAGTAAAGTCACTCACATGTAAGTACTGTAATTAAATAAAAGTAAATAAATGAATGCAGTGATAAAATACATTTGAAATTGTGTGGAGGAACATGTATGTTGATGTATGAATTGTTGTTCTTTTCTATTTTGTAGCTAAATACTCTTCTTATTTCCTTTCTCTGTAACATGCAAACTCTCATTCAATGTCAAGTTTAAATAAACTGGTAGCTCAGAAGCTTATCTTCAATTCCTGAAAAAAAAAAAAAAAAAACGGAACTAGTCAATCAAACCAATTGTATGTAAGCACCTAGAATATTATAAAACAAAATATTAAAACTATATGGATTTAAGAACAAATCAGGTTGGGCCTCTGCAACAGGAAGGTGTCAAAATTACAGTACTAATGCGTTTGGCAATATATCCTGTGATAGTAACTATAAGAAGGCTGACAGAACAAGATCTAGCTAGAATGGTACTAGGACAGATAAACAAATTGGTAGAATAGCTGCATTTGGAAAGTTACAGTCATTCAGCATTACCCTGTATAATAAGAAGGTAACTAATTGAATAGAGTTTCATAGGATCCATCTTGCATCTGGCACTCTTCCATGTTTCCATTACTGATTCAAATCAGGGCATGGAAAGCATGCCAGTATCAATAAGTTCAGATGAGTTATAGTTCAGCATATTTCAGAATAGCTTTTTTGTATGTGAAGATTCCATGGGAGACCATGAGCGCAGAAAACTTCTGAAAGACTTTCATGTTCAAGAAGAAAACATGACAGAGGAAGATATATCGTAAATGTATATAAATGTATTTTGAGGGAAGAAACTGCAATCCATTTTTCATTGTTGTTTGACCAAGCAATACTTATAATAAAATGAGATGAGAGTAAAGTTTAAGAAAACTTTCTTATGGTTGACACAAGTAAACACTATATTTACTTCATAGGAAAGTTTTCTCCTTTAAGGTTGTGTAATAAAAAAATATCTGGGTCTATTTAATCTTTACTCAGAGAAAGAAATTGAACTAAATGATCTCTTAATACTGCTCTATTTTTACTTTTTTTCCCATTTATTTTACACACTGTAAATGAAAAGGTTAATAAAAATAAAGGGGATAATATCATTACTGTTGTTGTATCTTGGGAGCAACTAGTACCAGAAAATTGAAGTGCTTCCCCTAAGAATACCTGATAAATAAAACTAGGAGCAAAGTCTAGGATCCTGAGACTTACTTTATTCCAATAACATGCTCCTATATTATTGCTGAAATAGCTTCACTGGAAATCTTTGCTCTAATAATAGTATTTATCTTTGCTTTGAATGCAGTCCCTTCTGTAGGTACTTTTTCCAGGGCTGTCTACCTCATATTTTCCCTTTCTGATTCACAGTTGTTGTGTCTTTAGGATTTCTTGTTCAACAAAAATGAACTTTTAATGAAACATTTTCTGGCATCACATTTTATAAACAGTGAATTAAGTATTTGGCACTACACACCACATATTACTCATGTGGATGTTGTCTTGTGGTTCACCTTTATAAGCAATAGAAGGTTCTGCAATGAAATTAGATGACCCAAGATATGATCTTCAGTTTCTATGTTAGGACCAAAGTAAAGACTGGACTAGAAAAATCTCCCTCAGGATATTAATTAATAACATGAAGATGCTCTCCTTTAAGGGGTAATGTAGCATAAGCTTTTGAATATAAACTATGTTTCTATAAATTATGCATTTTGAAGTGTGTGACTATTTTAAAGGACTGGTGGATGGAGCTATGGTGTTGGCAGTGCCTCCTATAGCACATGAAGGCTCTTCTAGAAACTACCTGCTATTCTTCAGAATGCTTCAGAGTGGAGCACCCAACTGGCTTGCTGTAAGGCATTGTATCCACAACTGCCATATAGGCCTTCCAAGCATATCTAATCATCTTCATACACTTGAGAGACCTGTTAGGTTGTCTTGGTATGTCATGGTGTGTCATGCAATCTGCATGCTTCTATGTCACAGCTCCTCCCTCTCTTCCAAAAGTCAGGCCAGAGAACACCAGCATGGCTTGATACCACCACATTATCACATGCAGGTCAAACCCACAGCCTGCACATGCCATTTTGCAGCCTGTCTAGGAGTCAGTGGAGCTCAACGGCATCTGCTCCTACTGCACATATGCCACAGGCTCTTCAGGAAGGCATGGCGGGGAGAGGTTTTTGCTTTGGTTATTTCGGTTTAATGGAGGACTCCTCATATTTCTCACAAGCAAATACCACACAGAAAATACAAATAGACAAAATATATTTTTTGGTTTTTCCCATGAAAGAATCAGAACAACTTCTCAAGACAAGACACTGGAACTCTTTACTCACAAAAGCTATAGGCAAAGCCCAAATATTCGCTAGTCCATCTCTACTACTCAAAATACTCTACCACTCAAAACTACTACAAACACTTTTAAAAATCTGTTTGGATGTAAGGCACGCACATTATTTAATCAGAGGATACCCAGACATCTGGAAAACTAGGCAGTTGCATATAAGCTAGAAGAGAAAGCTATTTATAGATTTCACTGTTTTTCTGAATTGTTTCCATAACAAATCATAGTCTGATTTGTTAATGCTTTTTGTTGATGGGTTTAATTTACTTTCCAAACAACAAGATCATTCAGGGATAAATGTTATGTTGTGCTGTACATTTGTTTAATGTTCTCCACTTACATAGTTATTTTGAAAGTATTATTGCCGGATGAAGATTATCATAGATTGTTTTAAAGAAGTTTGAAGTAACTAACAGTTTTGCAAATAAGTCATTTCACAGAGCTTAGCTTTCACAGGATCAATTTTTCATGGAGTTTTCATAGAGTGCAGTTTAATGTAAATAATCTTTTTTACCCCAATTTAAGCTTATACATACAGTTTAATTTCAAAAAGATTTGTTTTTCTACAAAACTTCTTATAAGAAAATTTAGTGTTTATGGAAGGAAAGCACTAATCACTTTGGCTTGAGTCAAATGTCATATGAATAGACATCCTGTGTTCATCACCATTCTGTCTGCCAAGCCTGCTGGTGTGCCTCAGTTTTGAACGTCAGTATTCTGTTTTTTTTTTTCTGGTCCACATTCAGTTCTTCCTATGTGCCTCTGTCAACGGCTTATGGGCTGGTTCGGCCCGGTTCCGTGACTGGTGGGGCAGAGGGATTTCACAAAATCCGCACCTCCGGAAAAGGGAACATGGGACCTCAAAATAATTTAAAAAAGTGGCAATGATCTGAGGAGAAACAAACTAATTTACTAAATATAGTATCGGAATACAGGATAACATGCTATAATACAACATAATTAGAATTGAAGCCAATAAATCAAATATCATGAGAGAGTGTCCAAAAGGTGGAAAGGCCTCACCATAACACTGAGGTGAGATGCACAGTCCGGCTGAGCAGCAGGGAGGAGAGCAGATGAAGAAGAAGAGCGCATCAGGTGACCTTGCCAGGAGTTATATCTCCTCTCTGACCGCAAAGCCCCCTGGGGTGTGTAGTAGTTTTCTTCCGGACAGGTGCCCGAAATTGGAGCATTAACAGTTTAATTCCCAGTGCACTACATGATGTTATGATGTGGAATACTGATAACCAAAAATCATAAAACCATGACAGCCTCTATCCTGACTTTCTGCATGTATGCATCTCTTAGGTCCCCTGTTACCCTAAGAGAAACCTCTGAGCATATGTTGTATCTATACAAACCTAAACTTCTGCGCTGAGCAAATTTTGCAAACTAAGGGTACAGATCACCTCCTGCAATTTTACGAGCTGGATCTCATTTCAAATGTAAGTCTTGGTAAAATTCAAACTATACTAAGATTAAAATCAGGGCTAAGACTTTATGCTGATATTTTCCCCAGTTACGTTAAGTTGATCTACGATGTATTCTAGCTCCTTGTTTTTGTCATTACTGTTTCTAAGTATGGTTGTGAGACAAATTTATTGTGTTTAACAATTCAGGACTGCCTTTCACATACAGTGACAAAACTGTATTTTCTAGATGCAAATGCAAAAGAGTCTATGTTGCTGCGTAATCTTACTAGCAAGCTGTAACTTGATGGCATTAGACTAAGGAGCTTTTGTAAGCAGGTCTTCATTTCCCAGAAAAAACACTCTTAGATAAGGAATATGCACTCTTTCTTTTCAATCCCTCTGTGTCTCTGCTCATGCTCCTCTTTCCCTCATTTCTCCCCACTCCTCCATACTCCAAACACTCTCTCCTCTTGAACAACTATGTGAGAAGCCCTTTGAGGGTTTGGGAATACAGCCAAAGATTGTGGATCAAGTGGCTTACCTTTGTATATGCAACATCACTTCAAGAGCTGAAGGGACTACTCCACATCTCTGTGCAGAGTGGGTGCAGGGGCACTTCTGCACATGGACAGCCATGGAGCCAGGTCTTGGGATATGGGGCTGCAGAAAGGAGAGGTGGTTTTATGACAACGTCTGAGGGGTAACCATAGAGGCGGAGGGAAGGGCTGGCCCTAATAGGAAACTGAATGAAGGGAAGTGTTATATAGCTGCAGTGAATTTTAGGACACTGGAAAAAGTGTTGTGTAGAAAAATCTTAAAAGCTGATTGTTGCAGGTAGAGGATAGACTGGCTAGAGCCTGAACCAATTTTCTAGTGTTAGCAGTGCCAAAACTTGACAGGTGGAAAGCCATGGAGAGCTGCTCTTAGTGGGACTGCATCTTGACTGCAGGGGGAGGGGAAAACATGGACAAGTGATGGAGGCCATGGAATTCAAAGCAAAGTAAATGTAAGGAAGCAGGGAAGACTCACAAGTTATTACAAGAAAAAGAAAGCAGTTGATTTAAAATGTTTTCGAATAGCTGAGCTAGATCTCCTTACTATTCATACATATGAAACATAGCGGGATTACATTGACATTCTGGTCAGATTTAGAATATCCGGGTTCTGGTCTCAAGCAAAACTCAGAGATGTGTCAATACTGCAAGGCACGTATGAAAGACATGTCTGGTAAACAAATTTTAGAAGTTGCTTACATTAATATTTTTGCTTTTTTAATATTACTAAATGTATATAATGTAAGAAGTAGCTGACTGACCTTTCAAGAGTTTACTTTGCAAATGTATGGCTCATTATGTTAATTCATCACAGTAATATTTGAGTAATTATTAGTTTCATTTTAAGATTCATTTTGATTTGGAACTAAATATTCACATATGTCCCTAAACACAAAAGTATTATTTATAGTTATTTATAAATATTGACAAAGGATTTTAAGTGTATCACTAAGTAATTTTCTCTGCACATCTGTTCCTGCCACTCTAAAGTTTTTAAAGTAATTTCTTTAAAAAGCAAAACTCAGGTGCAATTCACAGACGGTAAAATTTTTGTTTTGATTGTGAACCTAGAACATTTTTAGTTACTAGTATGAGTGACAGAAATATAATTTTAAAAATTGATTGTATTTACATCATACATAAGCCAATTTTTAAAGGTTTTCCATACTTCAAAAAATAAAAATACAACAGAAGATGAATATTTTGTAAAGTAATGTTGAGTACTTTTGTAAGTGTTCCACCAGTAATATTGTTATCTTCAGGGTAGGAAGCTGTAGGTAGCAGCAGCATTCTTTCTTATTAGCATCTCTAATTTTAGTTCGGATTGTGCAGTTAAATGGTTTTTCAAAGCACCTTTCTGCATAAATTTTCAGCAAGTTGCCTATAAAACATCTTAGTTTTCTATACCTTTAAATGTTTTGTTCCCAGAAGCAGTCAAAATTTTTACATTGCAGCTGGTACAGAATTTAAGCAGAGCATGCTAAGGTTAAGTTGTATTTATATAGCATGCCAAATTTCTATTTCAAAAGTCACCTAAAGTTTCTAAATCTGTGAGATTCAGTTTTTTCAATTCACTGATTCAGCACAGTTTATTGATAAACCTGCAAGCCAGTCTAATGAATCTATTGAATTATAGAACTTTTTGTGTTGAAATGGACCTCAAAGACCATCTAGTTGCAGCCCCTATGTCATGAACAGGGTTGCAAACTACTGAATTTGATGCAACTCAATAGATTGAGTTCCTCAGGGATTACCTAATCTGGCCTTAGATGCCTCCAGAGATGGGACATCCACACTTTTCTCGGAAAACTATGCCAGTGTCTCACTACCTTCTGAATAAATGATTTCTCCATGACATCCTGTCTAAATCTCCCCTCTTTTAGCTTAAAACCATATCCCCTGGATCTGTCACTATCTGCCCATGTAATAAGTTTGTTTCCTTCCAATTTATAGGCTCTTTTTAAGTACTGGAAGGCCCAGAGCCTTGTCTTTTCAAGGCTGAATGATCCCAGCTCCCTCAGCCTGTCTTCGTAGGAGGGGTGCTCCAGCCCTCTGATCATTTTCATGGCCCTCCTCTGAACCCAATCCAACAACTCTGCATCCTTCCTGTAATGGCAGCCCCAGGCCTGGATGCAGTACTCCAAATGGGCCCTTACAAGAACAGAACAGAGAGTGATAATCTCCTCCTTCTCCCTCTTTTGATACAGCCTGGGGTACTGTTGACCTTCTGTGCTGCAAGAGCACATGGCTCACATCATCTTATACATACATCTGGCTCACATCCAGCTTTTTGTCTGCCAGGATCTCCAAGTCTTTCTCCTTGGGCCTTCTCTCAAGGAGTTCTTCTCCCATTCCGTCCACGTCAGAGGTTGCCTCAATCCAAGAGCAACATCTTACACTCAATGTTATTGAACATTATTAGGTACCCTTCTCAAGCTTGTTCAGGTCCCTATGTATGGCAACCCTTCCATCATATCAACTGCACCTCTCAGCACTTTTTTTTTTTTTTTTTTAAATCCTTTATAAGTAATATTTAAGCCAAAACAGTCTTTTGATTAGAATTTGAAGACCGCTGTCTTATAACAGTTTGGCACCTCTGAATATACTACTCATGACTGATTGTGAAATAAATCAAAATCCATCTTGTGTATCGTTGTGCTGTTAACTGATGTGATTATTAAAATACCTTTCCTCCTTTTGAGCTCACTTCATAGGTTCCTATACGATGGAGCTACAGGTATCCTTTAATCTGAGATTTTAGGGAGGATTCTCTCCAGTGCTGAGATAGTGATGATGACAGTTTCATGGATGGATCTGACTTTAAAGTTGTCTCTTTTTCATTTTATCCCTGGTATCTTTTTCATTTTATCCCTGGCAATGTTCAAGAGGTGTCTGGATGAAGAGCTACAAGATATGGTTTAGTATCTTGTGGTAGCAATGGTAATGGAAGTACGATTGGATTAGATGATCATCTAGGTCCTTTCCAACCTTGTGATTCTATGATTCCATGAATATAGAATATCAATATAGTATATGAAATGAGAGTTCATATATTTAGTAAGTCACATTTGCCTGGACTAGGAGTTGAGAAAACTGGATTTCTCTCCTAGCTTTTTCTTAAGATTAACAATCAATTTTTCAAATCACCTTTTTTTTTTTTTAATTTTACCTCTCTCATCCACTTTCTCATCAATTTTGAAAAGAGACTTCTATGCAACTGGTTGCCTGCTCTGATTTATGTAGCACTTGCCACAATAGGCCTTTTCCTCCCTCCCTTTTGGACCACAAGAAACCTCCTGAATACGAAGTATAGGATGAAATGGAAGTATAAATACATTATATTTTAAAACATATTTCTTCCCTAATCCCAGCATCACCAATTCAAGAAACTGGAATAGCAAGGGCATAAACCTTTTCCCATTCTTCATTGTATGTAATAATTTACTTGAGTTCTTTAAGCTTTTCTCTGATTATGGGGCCAACTGTCTCATCTGGTAATTCCAAATCTTTTATTCTCATTTTTCATTTCCCTTTGTCAACCAACACTTGCTCTCTCTTGGCCTAGTTACTTAATAAAATCGGACTGAATCTCATTTAATTATTTTGTGCTCCTAATTTTAGTACCATCTGCAGATTTCAAATTCTTACTTTTAATACTCTCACCCAAATCATTTATGCAGAGTACTGTGAATAGCAAAACCTGATGACTCTGTGGCACTACAGTGTATTATCCATTTCCAGTCTGAATACTGATCTCTCCCCGCAATATTTTTGGTCCACAACAAAGGAGTATGTAGCCATGAAGCTCCTGACTTCACTTTTTTTAAATGTAGCAGTGATGGAAAAAACACGTCAAAGTTTATGGAGAAAATTCCACTGTTGGGAGTATGATTGCTACATAACTATTAAAGTAATTTGAGAGAAGCAAGAGACTGACACAGATTTCTTATAACAAAAACGATACTGTTAAAGAAGCTAACATACATGAAGAATACTCAGCATTATAATAGCAGTAGCATAACTATTAACTATATCAGTTCAACATGCAAGAAGAATGTAAACCCTTGTTTCCTCATAAAGTAGATGCAGTAAGAACAGAAGGCTTGGAAGATGAGCAGAAACTCTCTCTGTAGAGCAGAATATAGAGAGAGGCTAAAGTCTTCCACATGTTGATATACCAATTATCTGATGTTTCTTTTCCCACTTATATTTCTCAGAATATTTGGCTAGCTTTATTTTGTGCTTGAGTTACTTGATGTTAGGGCATGGCAAATTAAATACCAGTTTCTACTGTGTCTATACTGAGTAGCACCACTTTTTGGACTGATGTAAGACTAGAATATCACGCACAGAAACTGCACTACCATGCCACACATACTTGTCTTCTGTAAAATTTCTCTACGTAAGTAACAAGATGTCCTGAGAGTCTAAGAGCTGTCCTGAGACTGGTCATTCATGGGATACATGGCTCTGATAGGTAGAGAAGAAAAGCATCTGTGATCCAGACCAACTTAAATTATATTTTGCACAGCCTTAGCTTTCCAAAGGTGCCTTTCACTCCAGTTGCTGTTCTGGGTGCTGCAATATTAATTATATAAATAATATATAAATTCACACATGGAAATCCCACTCCTACTTCCCTAGGGAAGATTCTGCCTTCATATTTATTTAATGTGTTTTAAAAATTTAAAATCTATGTTGATTTTTATTAATCATGCAGACACTCAAATTAAGTTACCAGGTAGATTTACTCAGCAATAGTAACAGTGGCACTGATGTAGCTTTATGCAAAATTTATTACTGTTTTTAATTTTTCTCCTTTTAAATTAAATTTTCTTCTTTCTACTCAAACTTACAAAGTGCCATTCCTATGTTCTCTAAGAGCCCTAACCATAGGGAAATGTCTGAAGATCTATAAGCAAACGTCAAATTTTCTGAAAGTAGTTCCCTGAAATTTAATTTTAACATTGCTGGTTTCTGTTATAATAAATACATATTATGGTAACGTTCCCTCATCCCTCTTTTTTTCCTTGCAGTGAAATTCGAAATCTTAGAAACTTGGATTACATAGATCCAGATGCCTTTAAGAACCTTCCGCTGTTGAAATACCTGTAAGTATTTGGCACCTGCAAGTAGTTGGCCTCTCAGATGTCTCTCTAAATTCTTTACACAATAGTGGTTTTTTTTGCATTTCATTTTGGAACTGGTTGTAAGGTTTTTCCCTACTGCTTTATTTTAAGGACAAAAAATCAGCTAGAATAGGGGCTGGGACTTTGACTACATTTGCAAGGAAATATTTTAGAAATTCATTGCTAACTTTGCTATTCTTCTGATCCATTAAATGTCTGTAATACATAAATGTTTGTTGTGATCCACTACATGTAACTCTCTCTCCGTCTTCTCTATTTTAGTGGTATTTTCAATACTGGACTCAAGGTATTTCCTGACCTCACTAAAATTTCTTCATCTGATGTGAACTTTTTACTGTAAGTATCTACTTACAGCCAGAGAGAATACTGCCATCCTCAGATCCCAAGAAAACCTATAGTGAAGACTTCTATTTTAGAGAAAATTAGAAAATAAGCATGTCAAGATACTGTTCCTCAAACTGTCATTCAGTTATTCTTAGTATCAAATTTGGAAAATGTCAGGTCATCCTGCACTGTGTATTTGAACTGGATGAGACATACACATAATTGCATTTCTCTTCAATTAGCTGAATCCCAAAATACAGAATTTTTACAGTCGAGCACATCCACTCTTCATCCTGTGAGCCTGCCTGCATTTCTGCAATCTAGATTGTTGCAACTTAGTGCTACTAGACTCTTATTTTATTACCAGGCATCCGGTGGTGGTTGGTTGTTAATGAGTTGCTAATGACAGGGTGTAAAAGCACTAGATATCTTTGGAAGGTGGTGGTAGGAGCTCCTGCAGGTCAGTGATCCCATGTGTGAAATCCCACCCTCAGCTTATGGGCTCCATTAGTCCTAAATGTCACAGCCTTGTTTCAGAATAATAGCAAGCACACTTCTCCCTTTCCTAACATTACAGTGTTACTTCAGAGTCCATCACCTTTCCCCTAAACATACATGGCTGTAGCACACTGAGAGAATTGCTAGTGGATGTTCAGCACAAGCAGCTGCAGGAGCCTCCAAGATGGCCTTTCATGCCCATGGTGATTGGCATAGCACCAGCATCAGCCATGCCCCTAACTAGCATAAGTACTCTGAACTCCTTTCTTTTCTCTGTCCAGGCACTTTCCCTCCACTTATTAAGTACTTGTGTCACTTCTCACTGTGAAGGAAAACAAGTCTTCTGTTTGTTACTAAAACAGCCTGCCAATACCAAGCTAATGTAGAAAAGCCCTGCACCTAAAAATCCATAAACAAAGAACCATATCTTTCCTGAAAACTACTATTTGGCTACACTATCAGCAGGCACTCTTAAGAAAGAGGACTGCTTATTTCCCTTCTGTTACTCACCTTATTTCACAGCAGCTGATTGAGATGCCACCTTTTAGAATCACAACACAACTCCATATGAACATATACTTTGCCTAAATTTACTTGTGCAGTCACACTTCATGCACAACTCTACTATCCCATTAAAGAAACCAAGCAGCAGCAATTACCTATTTTTAAGCAAGACTTCCTGGGGAAGCCCTCATTAACTACAGTCCTCAGCTGGAAAGAATTGTCCTATTAGCAGCTTTGCTAATTTAATTGAGTTTGCTCACATGACGCATTTCTATATTACAGTAAAACCTTCTTCTTTTTTTACAACTTGAAAAAAAAAGGTTTACTTTAGCTGATTTAAAGGACCCCCTCTTTTCTTTTTTTCTTCTTTCCTTTTTCTCTTGGAACAAACTGCAGAACAGCTTGGAGACAAAGAAAGGGAACACAAATGTGGAGGTTTTGTGTCTCCAACCTTTACTATCCTTAAAGCTATTTCAGAAACAAACACTACTGCTATGACAACAACAGGTGTTTCTTTGCATTCCAAAAAGCAAAGCCTACATCTGTCTCTGTACATTAACTTACAATTAAAGCTCAAATCAGGGTTGCAATCAAGCTAAGGAAGAAGAGCAGCTAAGACAAAGACTTGTAGGCTGACACAAAGTAAAAGTATCTCAGTGGCTATTTAGTGGTAGCAGTCTGCATATCATAGCACCATTCAGCCAGAATAGGCTTGACTGTTGGATGGATTAAGTAAAAGCTTGATGTTTTTTTCTAGAAAGTAATTTACAAAGGCTTGGTGGTCTGACCTAGATGTTGATTCAATACTGATAAATGGTGTTCCTAATCAAACTGGAAAGAGTGAAACGCAGGGCCACCAAGATGATTAGAGGACTGAAACACCTCTCCTATAAGGAGAGGCTAAGAGCTGGAACTGTTCAGCCTGGGGAAGAGGAGGCTGGGGGGATCTTATCAATGTGTATAAGTACCTGAACTGGAGATGCAAAGAAGATGAAGATAACTTCTTTTCAGTGGTGCCTAGTGTTAGAATAAGAGGCCATATATACAAACTGGAACACAGTATGTTCTAATTGAAAATCAGAAAACAGTTCATGATGTGGCTGAGCACTAGCACAAGTAGTTTAATTTCATATTATATTACTATTTACCCTCATGATTGTCCTGGTCTCAGCAAAGATAGTTAATTTTCTTCTTATTAGCTGGTGTGGTACTGTGTTTTGGGTTTAGAATGAGAATGATATTGATAGCACGCCAAAGTTTTAGTTTACTGCTGAGTAGTGTTTGCATGGAACTGAGGAAATTTCACCTTCTCACACTGTTAGTGAGGGGCTGGGGGTGCACAAGAAGCTGGGAGTGGAAGGCACCTGGACAGCTGGCACAAACTGGACAAAGAAATGTTCCATACCATTATAGTGACATGCTGAACTGTAAAATTTTATTTCACTTTCTTTAGAAGCAGTTCTATAAGGGAAAATGCTTCTGTCTGTTATAATGTATTCTCTGATATTTTACCTAGCTAAACAGCAAGATCTCATCTCTAAAGTCATTTGAGCTGACTCAGTTGACATTGCAGCATGATTCACTTTGCAAATCATCTGGGTTTCGGAAGAATGAATCTGTCTTTGCTGTTCACCACAGAAATCATGCAGGCTGGCACATCTCACCAGGACTGTAAAACCCATTGACTTTGCAAGCTCACTTCTTGGATGCTGAAACATCCTTGATTCTTAATCATCCCAGCTTGCCTCTTACAGCTGTAGGTGTAACTAAACTATTATTCTACACTTTTATTTATTATCAAGGCAGAGAAAAATGAATAATAAAACTGTTCTGGAGAAGCTCTGTTAGGCAGATATTTGACCGTGATGTTTTTTTTTCCTTTTCCAGTGAAATTGCAGACAATCCTTTCATGACTTCAGTGCCTGCAAATGCTTTCCATGGGCTCTGTAATGAATCTCTAACTCTGTAAGTTCTTCCAGCTTAAGCCAAAAAGGCAATCCTTTTTGCCTTAATCCCTCAAGCACATGGTACTACATTAAAAAACAAACAAACAAACAAAAAAAAACCTCAGTTCTATTCTCCAGTAGTTTATAATGGAGAAACATCATAGGCATTATATGTAGTAATGATACTTCTAGAAGTTCAGACAGGCATTATTGTAAAATGGTACCCATACTGCAATTTATTATTTCCTTCATTTGACCTTGCAGAATTTTATTTCCCTGTTTTAGCTTGGAAGCAGGAAAGTTGTGGCAAAATGTTTTAGTCTAGTTCTATATTTACTGCAAAAAGAAGTAAAAGATAGCATACCTGCCACATGGTATTCTTAATTTGGCTACATTTAGGAAATCTGGTGGCATCTGCTCAACCTTGCACTACAATTGTTACTTCTTCAAGACACTGAAATTAACTCACTCATAAACGTGCAGTTGCAAATAAAAATGATAAATAAGATAATAGGTATTTCATTACTGAAGCACACAAAAATACACTAATTTATTTATTTCTGTTTGCAGCAAACTCTACAATAATGGTTTTACCAGCATTCAAGGCCATGCTTTTAATGGGACAAATCTGGATGCTATGTAAGTACCAGATAATTTCTTCGTTTAAAAAACACAAACAAAAACAAAAAAGCAGCACACACAGAAAAATGACAAAAACAACAACACATGCAAGGAAAAATAAAGCAAAATACACCAACCTATAATGAATGTTCCCTACCTACTGGAGGTTCTCAAAGAAATATCTTGTTCTAATTGTTTTTTAGGATCATAGAGAGGATATTAATTTCAGCCAGTAACAAAAATATAGGTATTTTGATGTCTTTTGCAGAGTACTTTGATTTTATATGCATATATTTATAGTTCAGAAATAAAATCACAGCAGGTGAATCTAGTGTGAATTTTGTTTAACTTTCTGACCTGAAGTTATAATGAAATATCTTTTGGTCAAAAAGATTTCAAAGACAATTGAGATCTTACAAGGCAGTTTATTTTAATAAGTGTAACACTAGTAATGATAGCAGCGACATTTCACAGAAATCTCTTACCTGAAAAAAAAACCAAAAAAAAACAAAAAAAAAGGCAACTGGGAGAAACCAGGCACTTAACCTAAAAATGAGAGATGTGTCTGTCCAAAGCAAGAAGCAATTATTTCAGCTTTCTCTTCACCTTCTTATTGTAATTTCTGCAAAACTACTACTTATCAACTGAATATACTTTTCACATCATTCTGAAAATGGTCTGTTCACACGGAACAAATCTAGAAAGATTTTGGGAGCTCCATTTGCATTGGCAGAGCTTACTCAGCTTTAGTCTGGTTATCAAAACATCTCACAAGTTAAAGAAATTTCTTCATTGTGAACTCTTAAGTTAACCACAGAGGCATGAGGATGCAGAAAATTTTCCTACTTCTTTATTTTAAATAGGTCTTGAGTTGTATAAAAATTCTGAAAGACCATCTTTCACATGGGCTGAATCTTTGCAAACTGCCTCTTTCCCCCTTAACACTTATCTGGACTTCTTGAAACCTAAAGAATTGGAGTAGATCTTATGAATTCAGTCATTCAACTTCTGTATGAAAAAGGAAATCTTTTCTTGATGACACAGTGTTTGATACTAATGTCCATGGAAATCACAAGAAGTAAAATACATCTAAATGAATGTGGCATCTCGACTAAATCCAAGCTTTATATGCAATTCTTAATCCTCTTCTGTTTGCCAGTTGAAAAACTGTGTAGCTCTTCAGCTTCTCTCATACTGATGAAACACATTTTAAATATGACTCTATAGGAGTTTGTTTTTTTCTTCTCTCATACTGTGCGAATGCTATTGCTTCTGGCCTCACTGGAATTTTTCTCATTATTAAAGAATTAAATGGAAGTGTAGTTCTACATGATTCAGAGTCTGTGGCATTCTGCTTTATTTGACTGGGTAGGAGAAGGAGAAAACATATATAAGTTTCTGCAAATGCTGCTTATTTTCTTTCAGAAAAAGTTTATAATCAATATTGTTTAAGTGAATTTTTCCAGAGGCTGTTTATGATGTACTAGTTAAAATTATTTAAATAAATCAATAGAAAATAAAAGCAGGCTTACCTTCAGGGCTTTGCCTACCAGAAGTAAAAATTGTTCATAACAACAAAGAGTTTTCTCCTAATTAAATCATATAAGATTTACCTGGAGCAAAGCACATCTCCAGATTTACAAGGCAAACTATGGAGCAGAACATCAGTGGTGAAGTCATTATCTGTTTGATAAACTATATTGAAATTTCTAAACTAATTTTCTTAAGTAGTTTGATTACCATGTGCTAAGATAAAGTATAATTCTGTTAAGTGCAAGGGTGGAGATTTGTTGTTTCTAGTAGCAGCATTAAGTTTATGCAAAAGGTAAATATTTCATTTTCTTTATTCTGACGCTTTTAATTTGAACTCTGATTTATCAGGCAATGCACAGCAAAGAAAGGACCTGTTTTTCTCTGGGTCTGATCCAGGGCCCTTTGGACTAGCTGAAACTAGGAGCAAAAAGAAAAGAAGAGAAAATCAGTAAGGGAAAGATTTTCATGGGTTTTGATTGATTACTTCAAAGAACAAAACAAGCAAAAAAAGGATAACAATAGAAAAGAAAATTTCATTTTTGATGAATCAAAGATTCCTCATGTTATCTACAAATAGTAAGAAATTTTGGGAATCCAAGAGAATACCTTCTACCATGTGGTATGCCTTTCAACCAGTCTTGCAGTACTGAAAGACATAATTCAGGGAGGTTGAAAACAAACAGACGTAAGTGTGGAGTTGTGCATAAATGATTGCCATGTTAAGCAATGGTGCTACCTATTAGGTCTTCTCATTCAACAAGAATCTGTGTTTATAGCAAACCATGATGTCTCCATACAGGTTTTATAATGGTAGGGAAGTAAAAGAACGTGAATGAAGAGGTGAACTGATGGACATGTTACTGAACAGTGTCCATCTGAAAGTTGAATCTCTTCATCAAAAACATCTCTCCATTAAATCCTGACACTTCTGTAGAATTTGCGAAGTGGTGCTCCTGCAACTGTGTTTATTTCTGTAAGGAAATTGATGAGGAAAGAAGTTTCTTAAGAATATAATTCCAGTGAATGGCAAAATGCATGAGATGAGCTTTTACATAGCTAAATTACTGAAATGGTGAGTGTGCAACTTCAAAATCTAATTACAAAAATAACTCCAAAAGAATATATTTATTTTGGTATACGCTCTCAGGGATAATTTTTAATGCTTGGTCAAGCTCAGAGACGAGATAAACAACAGTGTAGTAGAAGCACATGATGAATCCTTAACATTGCTCACATCTTTTGCAGACTCTCCATTTCTTTAACTTCCAATTAATAAACAAACAGGATATTTAATTAGACTAATGCATTACATGTCCAGAGCCTATTTAATGGTGGATATAAGAAGTAGTTTTTATAATAGAGATGGCGAAACGCTGGAACAGATTGCCCAGAGAGATGGAATATGTCCTGTCTCTGGAGATATTTGAGGTCAGGCTGGACAGGGCTCTGAGCAATATGATCGACCTGTAGGTGTCCCTGCTCTCTGCAGGGAGCAGGACTAAATGATCTTCAATTGTCCCTTTCAATCCAAATGATTCTATAATTATATGATTCTGCAAGCTTCTAAAGCTAAAATCAAGAGTTGCTTTTCCTCAGGTGTACTATCTAACTTGTTGCTTTATGAAGTATGTGTTGATAATGACTGAATATTCAAATATTTGTCATTTCATTTATAGCACAATTAAACCATCACCTTATCCTACTCTATGCTTTCTGCACACTTTGCACTGTGATGTTAATGTTTTTCTGATTGCCTTCCATTAACTCTCCAAATTGATTATTATTCTAGTGTCCCCACTGAGGACAGATATTCTCAGTCTTTCAACCTTTGTTTTGACACGTATCACTATTTGACGTGTACCACTATTGTGCTTTCCTTTTCTGCACTGCATTTAAATAACATTCAATACCATTAAGCCATGCATAAAAGTGCGATTAAAGGTGCTCTTGTAAGGAGTTATGTTAGCTATACATTAAATTTCTTTGCCAAATGACTGTTTATCACAGTCTTTTTTTTTTTTTTTTTTTTTCCCATTTATAAGAAGTACCTATCAGAGTAAAAAATTAAACTGAAATCAATTATCATCAGGAAATTATATGTTCTGATGAGCCTGAGACATCTGTGTGAAAACTGGCAAATAACACTACAGCCACTTCTTGTTAACATATGGTTATGAACTTCCCATGAGTTTCCACTGGACCACTTCTATTCATCAATTTGAAGATTTTTATCACATATGTGAACTATAAAATTTCAGATTTATCACTGAATGTGTTATTCAAGTGTCAGGGGAAAATATTTCACAACTGGACAAATAGTTTATCTGGCTGTGTAATAATATCTAGTTATCAATTCAGACAGTTTAATTTGATCAGGCAGGATTTTGTGTCCTTCAGAACCACTGGATTATTCTTAGCTCTTGCTCTGTTTTTGGTTTTTGTATTAACTTGGTGATAAAGTCTTGAAATTTGCAAAATGAAGCAACAGCTCAAAACAAAAATTGTCATTTACAGACTTCGAGTTCTCAAAAACTACAGATGTAAGGTGATACTATAATACTTCATACATTTAAAGAAACAAAGTTTATTTCAAACAGCAATAGGTGAGGAGAAAGAATAACCTATTTTTCTCTGTAAGAAGCAAGGCTTTAGGCATTGGCATTGTCCAGTGAATAACATGCCAGAAATTTTATTCTGGCATGGTTCCCTAAGACTCTATTTTAAATAACCCAGCTGAAGATCATTTACTTCTGCTCATTTCTCACTATGGTGATCAGTGTGAGCTTGTATACAACAAATGTTATGGAAAAATTGCCAGTGACTTCAACCAGGATGGGATTAAAAGCTTTACTTGTTTGTTTTTTTTTTTTTTAATTTTTTTTTCTCCAAAACAAAAAACAATCGCACTGACTTCATTACTGTTACAGCTTAACCCCCCGTTCACCTATCTCGATTTAGAAGATTCTCCCAGCACAGAGGTAAAATGGTGATCCTTCTGCACTTCTCTGAGTTGGCTGACTAATTTCAAATGGTGTTTTTATTACAGAGGTTAGAGTTAAGAAAGGTTTGACAGGTCACATACCTCCTCTGCTAACTGGCACAGTGGGCATAGCATTTTCATTGACATCCTCTGAGAGCAGGCGTTACAATCTTTCTTTTATATTTTTTTGCTTTCCTAGCTACATCACAAGCTAACTTTAAAAAGTTTATAAATGTTACAGTACCCAACATCCTGACATCAACTGCATAATTGGCAATTTTCTCTGCTTTTATCTGTCCTTTTAAACATGACCTCCACAAGGCAGATTGTTTGCTGTCCATGCAAGGTTTCTGTCCTTCACTTGGCTTTAAGAGGAGCAATGTTTTATAGTCCTCACATCATGTCATATTATTCTTCATCATTCTTGCACTGCAAGACCTCCATCAGCCTTTGCTGGCAATATGTCAAGGAATCCTGATGCTTTTACTTGTTCATCCTGAGTGACCACTGTTGTTGCTAACCGAAGCTATCTGTAATAATGGTCTGGGGCTGTTGTTGCTCCAAGACTGCCATCTCATGTTTTAATCTGTGTTTTGCTACTCGTGCCTTTACTTTTTCCATTATACAGAAAATTGATAAAAAGGAAACATATTTTGAATATAAAGGGGAGAGTCAGTTGCCTTAGGCACCACGTTCCTTCAGGGCCTTTACAGCATTGATCATTTTGCCTTCTTTCATCAAGGGGATCATTCATTCCCCCCTGAAAACTTTCCTTAGCAATTCTCTACGTTCTTCTCCTTAATGAGTCATATTGTATTTCTACCCTGAAGCTCAGTCCTGCAGCATTTTACCATCTACACTGCTGTCTTAGTTCAAACTTCTCTCAAAGGTCTTGCCTTAGCACAGCACAGAAACAAGATGCTTGAAGTGTTGGGTATCACTGCTTATACAGTGCCCCTCAGCCAAGAGAGCTGCATACTTGTTCCTTCCTCCTCAGGGACAAACATATCTGGTAAATGACTCTCACTGCCATCACAGGACTCCAGTTTCCAATGAAACTAAGCTAACAAACATGACTAGATTTGATGTCTGCAAGCTTCTTCACTTGTAAACTTTGAGATAGAATTTGACTGAACCAAGCAGAAATAACACAGGTATTAACTGCTTGCTGAGGGAAGGAGTCATCACAGTGAAGTCCTATCCACATCCCTGTGTATGTGTGCAGTGTGTATGTACATATAAACACATACATATCTATATATATATAGATATCATAACCTAATCTTCAGTCTCTTTTCATTGCTCAGCAAATTCACCATGTCCTGTCTATGTTTAAAAGGTCTGGCTGCTGATAGTCCTGGCTAACCAAGGGGATGGCATGAAGTACAACCTCATCAAGGAAATTAATGTGCTTTGATATTTTCTGGAGTACATTTTAGCTGAACATTTCTCCCAAACCACATTTTTATTCTAACCCTATGTCAAATGTACCCAACTCATACAGAAGCTGGCATCATAAAATACACGATGAACATAAAAATAATGCTTGTTTTTCCATTTCACCATGTTCTGTGTATATCTGCTCTTTGCAGAAATTTCGTAGAAGTGTTCAGTGCTCTACATCCACTGTGCCTCCAGCACAAAAGCAGGATGCCTGTGCTTCTACTGTTTACTGAGTTTATGTTTTCTCTTTGTAGACCTGCAAGTGTGGAATTACCAAAACCAATTATTTCTCCCAATTTCTTCCACAAAAACTCCATAAACTGTCTTGGGCCATTGAGAACAAAAGTCTCAGAAATAGATGTGTAGCCTCTCAATTGCAGTTTGCAACTTGACTAAATTACCTGCAATCCATATACAAGGGCTGCTCCAAAAGTAATGCTCTATTTTACTATATTGGCCCACAGCGTTGGAGGTGGATGCGGGTGGTAGGGCAGTAGAGGTTGAAGATTCCCTCCCTTGTTCTGATGGCAGAAGGGGGGCAGTCTGACATGAAAAACCAGATGGAGCAAATGCGTGTCATTTAGTTCCTCCATTCAAAAAAATGGCACCCACTGACAGTCATTGGCATTTGCTGAACATTGATGGAGAACAAACAGTGGATGTGAGCACAACAAGGCAGTGTGCAGTATGTTTCAGTAGTGGCAGGAGTGAGTTGGAAGACAAGCCATATTCCAGATGCACCACTGCCACGCTACACAATGAAGGGTGTCTTGATCAGCTAATCCATGCAAATTGGCAGATTATGAAAAGAGAACTGTATATAGAGCTGAATGCTGGCTTCAATCCTTTGGAAACTGTGGTGGTAATGTTCTAATATAGCAAAGTTTAGTTACAAGTAGGTCCCACGAGTAACACAGTAACAGAAAGAACACTGTATGCAAGTTTGTCAGGATCTATTGAAGCAATATAAGGTTGAAAGTGATGGTTTTGTGGATTGCATCATTACTAGTAATGAGATGAGATGTAATGACATCACTATGAGCTGGAAAAAAAAAAAAAAAAGGCAGTCTATGGAGTGGCAACATGTGAATTTCCCATCAAGAACACAGCACTGAGGGAGTAAAGTGATGTGCACCATTGTTTGGGCTAAGAATGGGGTGATCCCTCGGGATTTCCAGGAACCCAGACAAAACTACATCATCACTAAGCTGAAGGCTCATATTTCCAGAGTCAGTCCTGAGAATACAACCTTTCTCTTGCAACACATTAACACCAGGCCCCATACCAGTTTGAAGATCATGGAACATATTTCTGATCTTGGCTATACTGTCCTACTACAGCCACTGTATAATCCAGATTTGGTGTCTTCTGACTTCCAACTGTTCAGGACAATGTAAGATGGACTGCAAGAGTCATCCAAACAGCTGTGAAATAGTGGGTCACCTCTGCTGGTACAGATTTTTATGAGCATGGCATGCAGGCTCTTGTTCATTGCTGGTGAAAATGAATAGCCAGAGGTGGTGACTATGTTGAAAACTAGGGTTTTGCAGCTGAGAATTTGCTCTATCAAACAGTATTATTGTGCTCTTTGTAACTATTGCAGTATCCATGGAAACGAATAAGAGGCATTACTTTTGGAGCAGCCTATGTATTTTTACATTTCTCACATTATCATTTCAGACGATGGTAAACAGGAATTCATCTTAAAAATGAATAAGATTCATTCTAGATTAGTCACTATTAATGTAACCTAGAAATGCAAAAATGAACTTAAAATTGAGTGTTTCAGTTGGGTTGTATTACTTTTTTTTCAGTGTTCAATAGCATTGCATTGCCTGCCTTTAACCATGCAACTTTAACTTGACTCTGGGATGGGGTGGTCCTTCACATTTTATTTTTGTCAATCTATTTAGACAAGGAAACTTGAATATCTTTCACCTATGGATGACTGTTACCAAATGCCTGTGTTTTGTCTGTTTCTGCAGCTATCTGCACAAGAACAAATACCTGAAAGTTATCAATGAAGATGCATTTCTGGGAGTGCATAGTGGACCAACTCTACTGTGAGTAGGAGAAAGTGATGTAAAGAAAGCCTTAAAAATAACGTAATTTTGTTTACACTTTCTTTTCAACTGTCATCAATAGTAGAACAGAGGGGTGGGAATCGCAAGTTAACAAAAAGATGATCAGCAAAAGCTTTTCTATGGGAGATCAATTTGCTCTTAAAATTAGTTTTTCTCCAGTTTTTTCTTCTGAAAGATTCTATACTACAGTCTGTCTCATGACCATGAAATGGGAGTACAACTGTAAAACAAGGGACTGCTGTATCATACCTGTAAAGGAAATGGAAACAGAGGTGAAAATTGAATTTCAGTCAGAATAAATTTATTTGTCATGCTGCTTTATCTTCTTTCTCATGTAACCTGGCTTCCAGCCTCATAGTCATCTGAAGGATTTTAATATATAATTATGTCATTTTTGGTTCAGGCATCTAGCTGTTGTTAGTTTCATTAGCTGGCATGGGAATCTGTGGACATTGGATCTTCTTCAAGAAGAAAGTTCCATTCAAAATACTCTTTCCTCTCGGAAAATAATTCTGTGGAAAAGGATTGCCAAAAGATAAATATTCCATTCCCTGAAGCAATGAATGTTATTGCCTACAATAGTCAAAATGATCTCAACAAATGAGACTCTTTCTGCCTTGTCACCCTATCAAGCTGGCAGAACTTATCATCTTGTGATTCTTTTATACATTCTTGAAGCTATGGTTAATGGAACTTCTATTCCACAGATATATAGTTTACTATTCTTTTTTTCTGATCAGGACTTCAGCAGCGACAGCAACCTAAAAACTAAAATAATTACCTTGGGTCCACCCCAAGAGGATAATTTTCTTCCATTTCAACTTTAAAGAAAGCCAGTGGAATATATCTAACTTAAAAAGAATTATCCTAGATAAATTACATGAGTTTGGGCATGCTGTAGGTGGTATATTCAGGTTAGGTGGTAGGTTTAGAAAGATATTAAAAATCTAGGTATATTTCTGTTTATAAATTTGCAGTTTGCAATAGCAAAGAAAGAGGGGAGTTGGATCACAGAAGAGAGGAGAAAAAATGCCAGTAATTCTGATTCCTCTCATTGCTGTATATCCAGATGTATGGACTGCTCCCTTTGGAAAACTATTTTAGCAGCATAATGACAGTGCAGTGCTCTTCCCTCAAAAGAATTCTTGACTAGGATTCAGAGGACCTGGTTTACTAAAATGTATCAACAAGAGCTGACACTTAGAATACAAGTTCAGCAGAGCACAATGAAAATATAATCAGGCTTACAATATAGTTAGATTTTGCAAAATATACAGTCTGAATTCAAAACATTATTAATTCTTGCATAAGATATTTGTGAACAATTAATTATCTGTAGAAAGCAGAGGCATTTTTTAAAGCATTGCTTCCCCTATAGGAAATCAGTCCTACCTTAGGAAGATTCACTCTATTCATGCCACTGGGCAAAAACAGTTCTTCAAGCAATGGAAACAGTCTGCATTCTGTTAAGCAAACAGTAAGAATTTGTAGATGTAAAGACTATGCTTAAATGAAAATAATGTGTAGTATAGCCCAGATTAGAATAGCTTTTATAATTACTATAGTAGTACAATATTAAGAAGACTGGGTATGATTAGATAAAAATTCCTTAATTGTGCTACTATACATTCACTCTCATTTTCTCAATTAATTTGTCTTTTAAATTTTCATTATCATTTGATTTCATATTACAGCTGCATGTCTCTGACTGTGAAAAAACCTTGAAAAAACTCACCAGTTACCTCTAGTTTTGAATTTCATTTTAAAAAATAAAGACCAAAAATAATAATCTTTAAAAATATATCAAATCTGAGCAGTTAAACATTCAACACTTGTATCATATATACAGATCGCTCAGCTTATTAAATCAGAAGCTATGCTTTATTTGTGTATTCATCTGAAGCTTCCCTATGGCTTATGCAACATTTGGTTTCCTATACATTCAAATTTCCCATAAGCTGAAAAACGTTATAGGATCTATAAGAAACCATGTGGAAAAACAAAAAATTTTAAACATGGACAAAGGCATTTGTGTTTACTGCACACTCCAAAGCGTGTACATCTGCTACTGCAAATCAATCACTTCCAAGAGCTGAATGAGCTCTAAACCCCGGCAACATGAATGCTGGATCTGGGCTGGAAGTGAACTTTTCCAGCATTTTACCACATCCCTGAACACTTGGTGTCTTCCACAAGGAATGTGGCTGCCTGGTTTCCATATCATCCTTTGGTGGAGGTTTGCAAAAGGCCTTTTGGAAGTTCTACAAGAGACTACAAGAGCAGGTTTTTATCACAATGCTCAGAGAGATTTGTTTCTAAACCAAGACTTTACCAAAGACCTTTACTTGCTGATTCCATCAGGCACATCATCTTAGTCTATACCTTTATTAATTGTTCTTCTTGTTAGATTTCTAAAAAAAGTCTAGTGCAGACATCAGAGCCCGACAGGCACAAGCTTCCCAATGTTCCAAAACTGTTGACTCATTTGCTGCCTTTGTGTTCTGGGACTAAATGGGGCTAAGTTGGAGGATGCACACCTCCTCTCCTAATACAACTCTTTCCTCCTTAAGTTCCTTCAGAACTTTTCAGTGAAAACCATCCAGTCCTGGTTACTCATCATTCATTTTGTCAGTTTCCTGTCTCTTTTAGTCAAATCTATCCGAGTTCTTCTTTTTAAAAGTGAACCAGCAATAGCTTTGCAGTAGCAGCAGGATACTCTGTGCACTGTAAACATGGCTGTGTTTTAATAATGTCTTAGTTATCTATATAATTAGATATTAATAAGGCTGACATAACTATTTTTCTTAGTAGTCCAGAATCAGAACTAATCATACAGCGCAACAAGATAAAAACATCATTCTGGAAAATTTGTGTTCTATATGTATGTTAATGCAGACTAAGATACAATAGTCTGGCAAACAAATAAGTCCTTATTACTTTCTATAAAAATATTTGATAATTCTATGACCATCCTTGATGTAGCTTTCTATACTTTTCTACTTTATTTACCCATTGTAAACTGCACGTAGTATTTATAGAACTGCATATAGTGTTTAAGATGTTGTCATCTTAGATTTATGGAGTGAAGATTTTCTACTTCTTTCCTAAAAATGCTAAGCATTCTATTTCCCTTCAACATTATTGAATAACAATGTGCTGAGATTTGCAGGGAGGACTTCAAGATCTACCCAGAGTGCTAGGTAAATTAAACATCATTGTAATCTACCTACTGTTAAGATAGCTTTTCCTAAATGCACTTTGCATCAATATTGAATCACATCTACCGCTCAGTCACTTAGTATTGCAGGATTCTTCAGCTTCTTTTCTCAGGCATCCTTAGCTTTCAATACCCTACACTATTTTGTGTCAGAAGGAAACTTTATTGCTTCCAGTCTCATTGGCTTTTCAGATTATTTATGAGTATTTCAGTAGTACCAGCACTAGCCTAGGCCCTGTGAACTTCTGCTGCTATGATGTGTATATTTTGAAACCATTTTCCATTCTTTCTCCAGTATGACAATTTATGCTAAATTCCCAAGCTTTTTCTTCACTATTTTTATTTTTTTATTAATCCACGAGAGCTATTCTTGTTATATAACCTCTTAGTTACCATAACTGCCCTTGATACCTGACTTTGTCAAGGCTTTTCAAAAATAAAAACTTCATTGTGCAAACTGCATCATCTTTTTCCATGTGGTTATATGAGAACATCTTCAAAGAGTGCCCAAGAATTTGTGATGTGCCACTTTTCCCTTCCAAAAACCCTTAGCAACTCCCATCACACAGCATTTAACCATGTTCCCTTCCTGCAGGTAGCTACCACCACCATGAGGACTTGATGGAGACCCATGGGGGTTGCCAAAAGGCCAGCTTTATCTTGGTAAGATCTGCTCCAAGATCTACTTTACCAAGATGTTTTGCTTAGAAGGAGGTCTATATAAAATGGAGAAAATAGTGAAAAATAAAAAGACACAGGTAAAGGCAACTAAGTTAATTGAAGGATTAGAACACCCAACATATAAGTAAAGGTTGAGATTTGGGAACATTTAGCCTGAAGAAGGGAAGGCTCAAGAGACACTTACCAGTGTATATCATATTTCATATTGGATGGGGTTGGAGCTGGCAAAACGCAGCCAGACTCTCATTGGTAGCAACGGAACAAGAGGCAAGCACAAAATGAAATACAGAAGTTTAGTTCACTAAATCTTCTTTACTGTGTGGATAGTCAAATGCTGAACAAGCTGACTATACAGGTTGTAGAGTATCCATTTCTTGAGGTACTGAGAACTCAACAAGACAAAGCTTTGAACAATAGGCTCCAAGTGGCTGCTTTGAGGAGGGAGGTCAAACTGGATGACCTCTGGATTCAACTTACTCTGCGACTCTATAAAAGACAAAATAACAGGATGCAGCATTCAGACTGCTGTAAGACCCATCTCAGGGGCTTAGCATAAACACTTACAGCCTACTGAAAAAGATCTAGAAGAACAAAAAGGAAGCTGATGTCACTGAAATCAACTAGTTGTGACATATTCAGATACATATAATAGCAAAGAAGCTATTAGGTGTAAAAAGCCCTCCTTCAGACAGTGGAAGCAATTTCTATCTTACTAACACTTACAAGTCAAAAGGAAAAATAGGGCAATGTAATAACAAGAGGTTTAGAAGCAATTTTTTCAAAGAATAAAATTAGTAATTATTTTCTTTTAGATGCAGGAAACCAGCCAGAGTGGGTGAGAATTAGAGGGATAACAACAGCACTCTTGGAAAGCAATGAGTGGAAAAAAGGAGAACTATTTATTAGCATGATGTTTCATTATGAAAGTGCTTAACGCTCCCACAACAGAAACTTTTTTTACTGGTTTCCTTCTTTACAGAGCTAACTCTGAGAAATGACCTTGACCTCCAGCATTAAGTTTGGTACAAAGCAAATAAATGAGTGCCAAAGACTTGCAGGATCTGATGATATTCAACTGGCTTAAGGAAATCCATAAACAGTGCAACATTTCCGCCGAGTCAGACTCAGTTCCAGAAAATAAAAAGCAGCAAATATTAATTTTTTTGTGAGCATTTCAGGATAGACTGGGATAGAGCATTTTAATTTCAGATTATAAAGGACATTGTTTTAGAGATTACAAGCTGCTTGAACATATTAAAATGAGTCTAAAGAAGCCTGAAGGAAAATAGTTCTTCCAATGGCAAATGCAGTTTTGTTAAAGAATTTTGAGAACTTTATTTTTGTACATCGTCTCTGAAATTGTAAATTTAAAGTCCTGGTATTTATCATCTCCACTCTTATCTGTGAGACATTAAAGATGAACTTTAAAACACATACATACCTACAAATTATACATAGTATTCCTAAAGAAGGCTATGTTAATGTACATAAAATTATATATATAATTGTATATTAGTAAAAGCATCAGAATCTGAAGATTAAGTGATTTAATTACTCTATAGTATAAAGTTAAGGTTTATTTAGTTCATAAGAATATGCTGTATCTCTTTTGTTTTTTGGAAGTGGAATATACTTATGCAGCTTCCTAAATCCCCACCTATCCTGGATTTTATTTCTGCTATAGAATTCTATGAAACTCATAAACCGCTGTGAGAATTTGAAACATTTCAGATCCAATCACTTACTATTCTCAGTTTTGTCTGTTTCTTCCTTTACAAAGGGATGTCTCCAGAACAGTCATTGTTAATCTTCCTGTCAAAGGATTGGAAAGCCTTAAAGAACTAATGGCCCAAAACACATGGACATTAAAGAAATTACCAGCTGTAAAGATATTTCTTCAGCTAATTCGAGCTGATCTGTCCTATCCAAGTCACTGCTGTGCTTTCAAGAACTGGAAAAAGAACAGTGGGTGAGTTTTTAAAAGACAGAAGACAATTTTTAAATATTAATACAAAAGTACATGATCAGCACTTTTGTGAACATTTTCTCTAGTTCTTGAGTACATTCTTTGAAACAAAGGGATACAGCTTCAAGCTCAGAAAGGAAGTAATTTTTGATACATCACAGGATCAGTAGGACCTTTTGCAAAGCTCTTCCTCTTGCTAAACCCACAAGGAAAAAAAAAACAGTGCTATATCAATGGCTGCAAAAATAAGTTTTGGGAGGTTTGCAACCTCATGTTTCAGATACTTTCTAACTGAAAATCTGAGAATATATGATTCTGAAATAACTATTTAGTAAGGATTTCTAGCCTTTCATCAGAACAGGTGCTGAGAGCTTTTTAAGAGGAAAAAAAAAAAAGCTTTTATAGATGTCCTAGTGGAACACAGCAGTTCATCTGCTGGGGGAATGCACATGGGGAGGAACGTTGTGCTGTGGTCAGCAGCACAATTCTAGAACGCAGAATTCAAATCCACTATAATTTTCTCTAAAGCTGAATAAGTTTTAAGAGCTATGAATTGCTATTCTGGCCGTTCTCTGATTTAAGAAGACAGCCTCAATCTTCAGTAATGCAGTATTTGTAGTTTGAATTAATAGTATACTAAAATATGCTATGATAAATTTATGAATTATTCAAGAATAAACTCATATACCATTACTATTCACAATTACAATGGAATGGGAAAATGAGAGCAATCAAACAAAACAGAGGATGAGAGAGATTCAAAACCTAGACAAGTAGAATGTGCAGAGAGAGCTCAGCACAATCAAATGATAAAATGAAACAGAGACATGCTTGTCTGTTAGCAGACACAAACATTTCTCAGATTTAATTATAGGCAATCTCAAATTGTAAATAACTTCAAATTCTAAACAACTGGAAATGAAAAATGCTAAAGCTTATTTGACAATGGATAGCAGAGGTAAAAAAGAACTACCTAACTGCTAACTTTCTAGTAAAAAATACATTTTTGGTAACAAAGGCAGATGCATGACACCATGATGTACAGTATTCTCAGCCATCAATTCTCTGAAAGGGTAGATAACTGCAGGATGAGGGGAAATGGTCTTAAGCTGAGGGAGGGAAGATTTAGGTTGGATGTCAGGGGGAAATTCTTCACAGAGAGAGTGGTGAGGTACTGGAACAGGCTGCCCAGAGAGGTGGTGGATGCCCCATCCCTGGAGGGTGTTCAAGGCCAGGTTGGATGGGGCCCTGGGCAGCCTGGTCTAGTATTAAATGGGGAAGTTGGTGGCCCGGCATGTGGCAGGGGGCTGGAGATTCATGATCCTTGAGGTCCCTTCCAACCCTGGCCATTCTGTGATTCTGCGATACTATGTTGGTAGTTAGCTGTAAGGAAGATAGAGAAAATGCACAGAACAGAATTGATAATTATTAAAGATCTGTGAAAAACTGGTTTGTGAGTAAAAATAAAGAGGAATACAATACTGTGTGTTATCTAGAAAGTTATAAGGAGGCTTGTGAATGACTAAGAATGTGGATTCCGAGAAATAAGGGGGATTATAGAAGATGGCAGACCAACTTGCTTCTGGGGGTATCTGATAGGCTCAAAGAAAAGAAAGATGTAAGTTAAGAAACAGCAGCTATTCTGATAATGAATTTTCTGTTTGATCTCAGAAATTCTCAAGTTTTTCATTTACTTTATGTTCTGCTAAGAAATACGTAACTGATTACATTATTATAGCTACATTTTCCTTTGGTAATTTTTTTTTTTTTAAGTCCTCCCTTTATTCACCTCAAACTGTAAATGCCAGTGGTGATTTCCCTCTGTCCTCTTTCAGAATTCTGGAGTACTTGATGTGTAACCAGACTGGCAGTCACAGTTTTCGAAATAGAAGATCGTTCAGAGCTATCAGAGAACCATTTTACAAAGATTATACAGAAGAATACACAGACCGCACTGATTCTGTTTATGACAGAAACACCAAGTTCAGGAATTTCCATGAAAATTCCCAATATTATATATTTTTGGAAGAACACGGGGAAGAAAATGTTGGGTTTGGCCAAGAGCTCAAAAACCCTCAAACTGAAGACATGCAGGCCTTTGACAGTCATTATGACTATCTTGTCTGTGGAGGCAGTGAGGATGTAATATGCACTCCGGAGCCTGATGAGTTTAATCCCTGTGAGGACATAATGGGATACCAGTTTCTGAGGATTGTGGTATGGTTTGTGAACTTGCTGGCCATTGTAGGTAATGTTTTTGTCCTTTTCATCCTTCTAACCAGCCATTACAAACTGACTGTACCACGCTTTCTTATGTGCAACCTAGCCTTTGCTGATTTCTGTATGGGGTTATACCTTCTCCTGATTGCTTCAGTGGACCTCTACACCAGATCAGAGTATTATAATCATGCTATAGAGTGGCAGACAGGGCCTGGTTGCAACACAGCAGGTTTCTTCACAGTCTTTGCCAGTGAGCTTTCTGTATACACACTTACTGTGATCACCCTGGAGCGCTGGTATGCCATCACCTTTGCCATGCGTCCCAATCGAAAGATTCGCCTCCGGCATGCTTTGGTTATCATGCTGGGAGGTTGGCTTTCATGCTTTCTTCTTGCCCTTTTGCCACTGGTTGGAGTCAGCAGCTACAGCAAAGTCAGCATCTGCTTACCTATGGACACTGAAACGCCAGTGGCTGAAGCCTATGTTGTCTTTGTTTTAATATGTAACATTATTGCTTTTGTTATCATTTGTGTCTGCTACATAAAAATCTATGTCACTGTGCGAAACCCTCAGTACAAGTCAGGAGACAAAGACACCAAAATTGCCAAGAGGATGGCTGTGTTGATTTTCACTGACTTTCTGTGCATGGCTCCTATCTCTTTCCATGCCCTATCTGCTATCATGAACAAACCATTGATAACAGTCACTAATTCCAAGATTTTGCTGGTACTTTTCTACCCACTTAATTCTTGTGCCAACCCATTTCTATACGCTATTTTCACCAAAGCTTTCCGAAGAGATGTGTTTATCCTGCTGAGCAAGTTTGGTATATGTGAGCATCAGGCTCAAGTCTACAGAGGTCAGACAATGTCAGTCAAAAACAGCAGCGGCTCTTATGGGCAGAGAATCAGCCGAGGGTTAGGTCAGATTCTTACAAGCATCCAAGACCCAGTCAACGATTACCTTCCTGCTATGACAATGCAAAACCAAATTCTTGTGGAAGAATGCAAGCAAACTGAGCTATGATGTCTCAAAGTCACACAGTCACAATTTTGTCGACACGTTGTTTTGTACACAGTAGATTGAGTGAGAAGTGCATGTTTTCTCCCTATTTTCCCCTACCCTACCGTTGTGATGGCTGATGCACCTTCAGAAAGACAACTCTTTCACTTGAAACTTCTTGTCTCACATTCGTACCAGTACAGGTCACAAGATACTGTTACAATTATACTGCTGGAAATGGATGGGAAAGTTATATATATGTATAGGAAAATTAATGTATAGAAAAAGACAGCAACTATGAAATGTACCCTTATCTAAAGAAAATAACGAAGGAGACCAGGCATAAAATGTCAGGGAACTTTTATGATTGAAAAAGAATGTAGTTCTATAGATAAGTTTATATTTTAAGGCATTAGTTGGTGATCTCAAATGCCAATTGGCTATGTGTCAAATGGTTGTTTTTTTCTTCTAAAAGCAAATTCCTAAAACTTCCACCTAAGCTAACGTGGAACAGAGTACTTCTGCTTCTACCACCCTGACATGCAATTTATCAGTTTTTTGTTTAGTTGCAAGGAGAAGCCTCTTCATATTACATTTACAGCGATTAAAGGCTAATGTCATTGACTTTACTGCTATCCATAACTGATGATAAACATGGGCACTTGCCCTTGTGTGTTACACAAAATCTCTTCCTATCAGTTTCTCTCACTATTTCATGAACCTAAATAGGAAATGGTTTAGTCTGAATTTCTTTTGAAGATCAGTTTACCCAGTCAAGTTAACGATCTTCATATTTTTTGCTTTCTAAAACCTAAGATCGTACTAAATTTTTACACCACCTCATTCTTTACCTAATCCCAGTTTGGTCTGAACATCAGGAAGCACTTCTTCACTGTGTGTGTGGCTGAGCACTGGCACAGGCTGCCCATAGAGGTGTGAAATCTCCTTGGAGAGCTCCAAGAGTCTTCTGGACATGGTGCTGGGCAGCCTGCTCTGGTTGACCCTTCTTGAGAAGAGGTTGGAGCAGACAGACCCAGAGGTCCCTTCCAGCCTCAACCATCTGTCCATATTTATCATCACAGAATTGTAGGGGTTGGAAAGGGCCTCTGGAGATCATCTGGTCCAACCCCCTACTAAGACTAAGGCGGGTTCCTTACAGTAGGTTGCAAAGGAAATCATTCAGGTGGTTTTTGAAATCTCCAAAGGAGACTCCACAATCTCTCTGGGTAACCTGTTTCAGTGTTCTGTCACCCTCAAAGTAATGAAGGTTTTTCTCATGTAAATATGGAACTCTCTGTGACCTTGTCCTGTCACTGGGCATCACTGGCAAAAGAAACCTGGCACCATCCAATTGACTCTTTAGGTATTACACTAAACATCACTGCTATCCATACATACTTCTCCCTTACACGGCTAGATGACTTTCCTTCTAGCACTTGCTGTGCTGAGCTTGCATCTGCACTTAAAAAAAGGGTGGATCCTGCCTTCAGGCTACTTTATGCCCTTAAGCCCTTCAGGTACTGAATTGAAGACCAACTGCTAGTTCCTGCAACACATCTAAAGAACATCTCTGTGCTCTGTGGGGAGACTTATATCTGAACTTCACATCGTTTGCAGTTCAGCTACATCCAGGACATGGCTAGTTTATGGCTGGCCACTGTGTTCCTGCAGTTTAGGTGCATACACTCCACACCGTACTTAAGGAAATGCAAACTCAGATACTAGGAACATCATGCAGACTCTTGCTACAGTGAAGCACTAAGCCATGCTTCTGTCACACTTGCTGCTAAAAAGGGTCAGATCACAGATGAAGCTTGGCCATGCTCAGTTCATCTGCATGCAGTAAGCAAACATACTGTGGTATGGCACTCTATGTCTCTTGCAGACATGAAGACTCAAGGCAGAAGCTGCTCTGCATCAGCTTCCTTAAAAATTTTATGAGGCCTGAGTGCCTGGTCCTGCCAGCAGGATCAGACCCATTCTCAGCCAGAAGTAGAGACTAGCTTTGTTGGACTAGTACAAGATAGCAATTGATCATTTCACCCATCAATTTGGAAGGCCTATCATGAGAACAGAGAATACTCCATGAATCTCCACCTTCAGGGAGGTATTTTAAAGTTCCATTTGTAATATCTACACTATCAGTACTATTTTCATGGAATTACAGTCTTTGGGGAACAGTGATAAAACTGAACAGGCAGCAGTCGGATCTTCTATAGTGAGAGTTAGTAGTATTCAGACAAACACAATGGCAGAGTCCTTTCAAAAGTGAGCTACTACAGCCAGTAATTGCACAATTGTGAATGCCATGTACTACTTCAGTTCAAAAACAATTTGATTCCATATTATAAATACAAGCTGCTCCCATGTGCAGAAACAAGCTCCTAGATTCACCAACAATGTGACATGGTCTCATAAAAAAATATTATGTCATTGTTAAATCCATTAAAAAAAAAAAATTGCATTACTGATTAATTTACCTGCCTATTCTGGAGAGGGGCGTGCTTCCATTTTCATTTTACTTTCAGTTGACTTGGAAACAGAAACCGCTCTGTGGCCTGGACTCAGCAGGTGATAATCAGAAATGCAAATGTAGCTCCTTAGTGCACAGATTCTTCTAATCTCCTAGGGTGAACACCCTTGGAACTGTTGTTTTCAGAACACATGGCCCTGTCCAAGATTATAGGAAGCAAGTTATAAGATGCAACTCCTTGCCTTCAAGTTCTATTGTACTTCTGATTCTGGAGTAATCATTACAGGGAGAAAAAGTTACCCATCCATACTTTGATGAGTGCCTTTATCACTTCAGCAGTTAAGACAGTAAGTTCCAATGAACATACTGTATATTCATGCTATAAATTTCATATGTGCTAGGATACCAGCAGGGAAAAAATCCCGGCTTGAATTGTGGTCTTTTTTTTCAGAAGAAGAGAAAAGAATAAATTCGTATTCATTTAAAAAATATTTTTAAACAACCACAGATCACTTATTTCAAACTTTTTTTTTTTTTTTTACCTTAAACTAAACCAGAAGGTTTATTTCATGGAAATTGCTTGGGTATTGGAAAGATGTGGTGTGTTGGACTGATTGCAGAATGCTTTTGAATTAATGCAGTCATTTGCTGCTACTTTTGAAAGATACATTGTTGAACTTTTCTAACCTCCCATCTCTGCATATCTATTTTTTGTCAATTGAAAGGATTCTGTGATATTGCCTTTATGAACAAAGTTAGATATTTTTTGTCTTATATAGTCTTTATTGTGTTAAAGCTGATGAAAAATATTTTAAAAGCCATGGGAGACATCCAGGCAGTAGACTTTAAATAATTTATTTGCCAGATTTTTACCTGTAAATAGTTGTATCCTAGAGATATTTTCTCACATTTCTGCTCCTTCTGCCATTCTGGTTCTGCTTATATCCTGATGTAATACTTGCTATTTTAAACGTCTCAGCAAGAAGTACTATTTCTGGTATGAAGTACTTCTTTTTTCCCCTCTAGAATACTGCAGGAATAACTCAGAATATTGGAATAAAATATTTTGTTTGAAATTGTAAAAGGCCCAGAGAGCTTTTCTGGAAATTTTAAGCATTTTTTTCCCTACAAAAGTAAAGAATATTTCTCCTGAACTTGGCCTCATTGTTCTGCTTGGCAATTGCATGATGGATATGGGTACACTTGGGGTAAGCACACAGGCCTGCCTGATCTTCTATGCTTCTGTCACCACACCTTGTTAGCAGATCACAATCAGGATTTTGGCACAGACGAACTTCTAGACTGCTCCATTACAGCCACTTACTGTTGTGTTCAAGCAGATACCCAGTTCAGACTGCAAAGTCATCTTTGACTGCACCTTTCTTCATCAGGCCTGATCACAGTGCTCCTGTAATTTAAAGTCCAGCTGAGGGGAGAGCAGCACCATTCCAGTTCACAACACCACTTCAATGGATCTGACTTCACAGCTCAGGTGTAAGAACACCTGCTGTAAGGGCCTGGCTGTCCTCTCTCAAAGCCTTGCACAGTAATGGCAAGAGTAACAGTCTTCTGGACTTGTCTAGGATTTCAAATGGAAGAACAGAATGTAAATTCCAGTTTGTGGCAGAGAATGCTTTTATTTTCTCTGCATAAACTTCTATGATTCTATTTGCAGGCACTAGGAAATTTCTTCATCCACAGGGTGAAGAAAAAAGCTGCAAAGCTGAGCTGCGGCCTTAGTTGTGAAAATGTTGAACTTTCTCTGAGCAATTTAAGCTGTCTATAGCTGACCTGTACTGCTCTTCTTTCTCTCCATCTGAAGACAGATGCATTTTCCTCAATAAGCAGACAAGATGCCACCCACTCAGATACAGTCAAAGTAAAGCACAATCTGCTGCAGAATCTTGGAATCTGAAAGTAATACAAGTAATAAAAAGTAAATGTCCATGCACTACTACCGTATTCTGGCTTATTAACATAAATGAAATGCACTTTCATTTTCTTTCTTGCTGGATAATTGATATACTTAATGCACACAGCACAGTCTTTGGAAAATCTTGAAAAGAGGACCTCGATTTGATCAGACCTATAGTTGCATTTTAAAATTAACCAATCCTTCCTTCCGGGTTGCTTGGTAGTAGCAGTACAATCTCTTGAGTTGATTTTCTGTTTGTTTGTATTATTTTTTTTGCCCTAGCAGATGCCTGGTATCTGATTTAAAATCACTCAGTAATCGTATGGCTTCTGGTTAATAGTTAAAACTGGGGTAAGGCCCGAAATTAGTTGGACATCTAACCACGCCTCTCTGTTGAGCACTCCTTTCTTGGTAGCGATTTTGAAAACACACGCCGTACTGCACTTTGATGTAGGGTTTGTGGGCTAAGGCACAAGATGTGAAGGGCCATTATCATGCCCTGGAACAGAAGGCGTTTAAGAAGTCTCGGTGACGCACACCGAGATATTCTGACATCACTGTAGACTTCTAATTCATACTGGTCCAATAATGCATCTACATCAAAACTGAAATACTTTTTACCTGTTTACTTACTTCTATTTTGCCCAACTTACTTTTGCATGACTACAGTGATGTGAAAGACAACAAAATGGAGGCTCTCTGAAGTCAATACATAGAGCATTTTTTCAGTAAAACCCATCAATTTTAACTTCCTTTTCCCATTCTGCACACATCAAGTACACACATTCATAAGAATTGCTACAGTAGTTCAAACTATCTCAGGCCCTCAGATTAAACAGGATATTAATCCTGTGGAAAACTTCAGTTTTTATAACTTTCAGTCTTATTTTCCACCCTAAGAATAATATCTATTACATATTAAAAAAAAAAAAAAAAAAAAGTTTCAACAAATACAGCAGAGAATCTGAAACTCACCTGGGCCATCCTAAACTTGCTCCTTCCA